CTGTCATGGATACTGAGTAAATAACAGTACAGAACATATTTAGGCAATTTATAATGCAAATCTCAGTTTGTGAGCTTGCTTAAGCATTTTAGAGTTCATTCTAGTCATATTTTATCTGTTTCACTTTCCTTTTTTAATTTTTTAAAACAATATACATTATTTGATTAATTTGTCCTGGGGTGTTTCCCTCTTTTTAAAATTGTTTATGTAAACTTTTTTCTTTTTTTTGAATATTTATTTATTTATTTGAGAGGCAGAGTTACAGAGAGGCAGAGGCAGAGAGAAAGAGAGGTCTTTCATCTGCGGTTCACTCCCCAAATGGCCACAACAGCCGCAGCTAGGCTGATCCAAAGCCAGGAGTCATGAACTTTTGGGTCTCCCATGTGGATGCTGGGGCCCAAACACTTGGGCCATCTTCTACTTCTACTGCTTTCCCAGGCCATAGCAAAGAGCTCAATCGGAAGTGGAGCAGCCGGGAATTGAACCGGCACCCATATGGGATGCCAGCACTGCAGGTAGCGGCCTTACCTGCCATGCCACAGCTCCAGCCCCTGCTCTGCTTTCAATTCCCCTTCCTGCATGCAGTGGAAGAGGTCCTAAACTCTTGGGCAGGAGACCAGGATGGAGTTTCTGGATCCTGGCTTCAGCCCGGCCCAGACCAGCTGTTACTGTCACTTGAGGAATGAATCTCTCTCTGCCTTTCAGATAGATAGATAAATAAATAAATCTTTAAAAATGGAAGTCAGTTGCCTAGATAATAACAGTTTGAATTTCCTTTTACTTTGGATCTATTGGATACATGCAAATAGGAAATTCTTTTTAGTTAAATATAGATTGCCTTTATACACAGTTATATTACACATTATAGCTTGGACTGAGCACTCATAGATAAGGACTTGTCAGTTCACCATTTATGCAAATTGGCTGTACTCTCCACTTGATCTCCGTACAGCATTGCTAAAAGACAAAGACTATTTTCAAATCTCAGGTCCTTCATTGAGCTGAGTCATGCCATGTTAGTCAGTTTCCTTCTTGAGGTGGTAACCAGAAATGTTTGAATCTCTACCAGAGGATGTTAGGGAATTAACTCTAACTAATAATTGCAAAAAGCTGAAAGCAACACAATGTTGATATTTACATAAGCATTTACTGTTAATGAAAGTGAAAACTGGAGGCTTTGCATCTCTTGAAATTTCAAGTAAGAAGTCTTAACTTTTATATTAATACATTGTTCAGGGGAAGTACTCTACTGAACTGAATTGTTATAGTAAGGCACATCAGCAGACAGTAATAACAGAAATGAGCAATAAAAGGAAAATTTGGAAATTAAAATATTTCCAGCCTATAAACATATTTAAAAATAATTAAATGGCTTAGGACCTCATATAAAAAGTATACAAATGTATAAGTCATATAGTTGCATATGTAGGTTTCTTTAAAAAAAAGATTTATTTATTTATTTGAAGGGCAGGATTACAGAGAGGCAGAGTGTGAGAGCAAGAGCAAGAGAGGTCTTTCATCCTCTGGTTCACTCTCCAAATGGCCGAAACGGCCAGAGCTGGACCGATCCAAAGCAGGAGCCTGGAGCTTCCTCCAGGTCTCCCACTTGGGTGCAGGGCCCAATGACTTGGGCCATCTTATACTGCCTTCCCAGATCATAACAGAGAGCTGGATCAGAAGTGGAGCAGCAAGGACTGAAACCAGCGTCCATATGAGATGTCGGCATGACAGGCAGGGGCTTTACCTGCTATGCCACAGCACTGGTGCCAATCCAAGAGTGTTGGGTGCAGAATTTGGTGGCATTTTCCCCTTTGAGGAAACTGACATTTCAAAAGCAATAGTAGAGAGATAGCTACAATGCAGGCCTTGTCATGCAATTGGTTAAGCCACCACTTGAATCTGCTGCATCCAATATTTCGAGTGGCTGGGATTGAGTCCTGCTTTGGCCTCCTATCCAATTTAGTTAATGCATATCCCCTGGACAGATAGCAGATGATGGCTGAAGTACTTAACTGGGTCCCTGCCACCCATATGGGAGACCAGGATGGAGTTCTGGCTGCGGGCTTCAGCTTGATCCAGACCTGTCTATTAGGAGCATTCAGGGGAGTGAAGCAGCAGATGGAAGGGGTCTCTTTCTCTGTTTTCTCTGCTTTTCAAATTAAAAAAAAAAATGTTATCAAAACATGATAGAGGGGCCAGGGCTGTGGCACAGTGGGTTAACGCCCTGGCTTGAAGCGCCAGCATCCCATATGGGCGCTGGTTCGAGATCCAGCTGCTCCACTTCCAATCCAGCTCTCTGCTATGGCATGGGAAAGCAGTGAAAGATAGCCCAAGTCCTTAGGCCCCTGCACCCATGTGGGAGACCCGGAAGAAACTCTTGGCTACTGGATTTGGATGGGTGCAGCTCCAGCCATTGAGGCCATTTAGGGAGTGAACCAGTGGATGGAAGACCTCTCTCTCTCTCTCTCTCTCTCTCTGCCTCTCTTCTGTGTAACTCTGACTTTCAAATAAAAAAAAATAAATAAATCTTAATAAAAAAATAACCAAGATAGAAACCAGCTGGCCGGCGCCGTGGCTCAATAGGCTAATCCTCCGCCTTGCGGTGCCAGCACACCGGGTTCTAGTCCCGGTCAGGGCGCCGGATTCTGTCCCAGTTGCCCCTCTTCCAGGCCAGCTCTCTGCTGTGGCCCGGGAGTGCAGTGGAGGATGGCCCAGGTCCTTGGGCCCTGCACCCCATGGGAGACCAGGAAAAGCACCTGGCTCCTGGCTTCGGATTGGTGCGTTGCGCCGGCCGCGGCGCACCAGCCGCGGTGGCCATTGGAGGGTGAACCAACGGCAAAGGGAAGACCTTTCTCTCTGTTTCTCTCTCTCTCACTGTCCACTCTGCCTGTCAAAAATTAAAAAAAAAATAAAATAAAACAGCTAAAGTTTTCAACTGCCTCAAGTAATATTTGAGTTCAGGACCTGAGGAGGAAAGATTTTAAGATGAAACCCTAAAAAGCTACATCTGGAAGTAACTTTTAATTATTAATTCCTGATTGGAGTTCTGGTGATCTGCCTTGAATCTCAGTGGTCCTCATGAGCCATTTTCCCCCAATGTCTACAGTCTTGTGTAAGTTCCATCCCACACTGATGCTGAGCTTGGTCATATGACTTGCTCTGGCCAAGGACACATGAGTAAGACTGATACAAGAAAAGGTTTGCATATTGAGTTTGTCTTATATCCCTTCTTGCAACCTTAGGATTACCATTGTGTGAAGAAATCTTAAATCAGCCACATGGAAAAGCAATGTAGAGAAAAACAAGGAATGAACCCAACAACCTTCCATCTTTGTGCTCCAACATCCTTAGCTTCCATCTTCATATTTTCCACACCACGCTCATCTTCTTCTCTGTTATGAGACTCCATCTCTATCCACATGTCCCAAGACATATGGCCTTGTTGAGCCATCCTAGCCTGGCCATCTGAGACACCCTAATCAACACCCCAGACATGGTGGAGCAGGGATCAACCACTTGTAGTATGCCCTGACTGAATTCCTGAGCCAGACAATTCAGAATCATGAGCAAATATAAGGATTATTGGTTTAAGTTGTTCCGTTTTTGGTTTGGACACAGCAACAAATAACTGAACCACTACCAAAACAATAAAGAACATGTAACAATCTATTTGTTAGAAGAGAATGGAATTAAAAATTCCAAAGGAAGGCAGGAAAGAAAAGTAAAGGAACAAAACAGCGGAGACAAATTGAAAGCAAACAGTAAGATGGTAAACTTAAATATTTGCTTCTAGGGAATTCTATGTATGAGTAGTCACAGATCAAGATCTTTTCTCGATACAGTTTTGAAAGCTAAGGATGCTTGTTTTTTAACCAATCGGCCTCTGAATTCTACCCCATCAACTCCACCTTAGTTTTATCTTGATGGACTTGAAATAAACCTGCTGGGAGGTACCACCCTTTACTCCTCGCTGGTGTTCCTACCTAGGCTGATTTAGAACAGGGTACTAAAGGCTTGGAACCGTGTTCCTATCATCGTTCCCTCTAAAGTCCCGATTTTTCCTATTAATCCCTGTCTGGGATTACCAGGATACCCTGACCCGCGCTCATCCCTCCCCATTTTAAATATATATTTATATATAGGAATTATATTAACTTAATGTAGTGTTTCTTTCCTCACCACCGAAAATGTATACAATACGCGGAGTTACACTTCAAAGAATTTTACAATCCAGAAAAAATGGCTATTTCACACTCGGTGTACAGTTCGGTGACCCCTGGGTGCTCCGCTAGCGCCCTGAGGCCAGGCACGGGGCCCGGGCGCTTCGGGGCCTTGCCCGGCCCGTAACTGGCGCTCTGACGGAACATGTTCGTTAAATGAGTAACTAAGTCCGTATGGTGTGTGTGGGCCTGAAAACACACGTAAACGCGCTTCCACGGTCAAACGCCCTAAGCTATACTGCGCAGCCCGTCCCGCCCAACCGGCGCGGGGCAGGCGACCCCGTCTGGCGGCAGCCGCGGTGGCAGCCGTTTGCCTCCTTTCTGGGTCGGGCGGCGTCCGTGGCTGGGAGCGTCTCGTGTGGAGGCAAATAAACAAAGCCAACCGCACCGAAACGGGTCGTTCCGTTTCACATCCTCCCTCACATCGGGTGCCCAGGTCTACTTGGAACAAAGTGACCCTCCATCTGTCCGCAGGCAGGTGGAGCCCGCCCCACGTAGCGCGCGCCTCCTGCCCTCCCAGCCCGCGCTCCTCGGCGCGCGTAGACGCGGACCCTGCAGGACCCCGCCGGCCCGCGAAGGGACACGCCCCCTCGCGGGAGCACAGGGCCGCAGCACGCACACCCCCGCGCCACCCCGCGAGCGAGCGAGCGAGCGCGCACGCGCGCGCGGGGGGCGGGCCTCCTCTTCCTGGCACCCACTGAGCGCCCGGCCCCCTCACCCCACCCCACCCCCCGCCGCCCAGGCTCCGCCTCCGCGACGGGGCCGCCGGGAGGAGGCGACCGGAAGCCACTTAAAGCAGAGCTCGAGGTGACAGGCGAGCGATCTGGAACGGGAGCGCGGTCCAGCCTTTCTGCGCTCGCGGCGGCGGAATGGCCCGTGCGCGGCTCGCCGCTTCGCCAGCCTGCGACCCCTAGACGCCGGCACCCGTCTCCGTGCCGACCCCTGGCGCGGACGCTGCTCTGGACGTCCGTTTTCTCAGCCTGCCCGTTCAGGTAAGGGGCGCCGGGTGGGCTCTGAGGGGACGAGGGACCCTAGTCGGGATGGCGGGCGCTGGCCTCGCGGCCCCGGTCCCCCGCCGGGAGAGTGCCGGGCTCTGGCAGATCGGGCTAATTGGTTTTTAGACTGTCTTTGTACCGAATTCCCTCGGATCCGATCCCGTCAGTATCAGGGTGGGATTCGTTTACACTTCTAAGTCGTCTTACACACCCAGAGCCTTTGGCAGGTGTACTAATGGGACGCTGGAGATTTTAGACGCTGAAGATTTAGTCGGGGTCGCCAGAGTCTGCCCCTGCCCGTCAGGGCGGGCGGGCGGGCGGGCTGGGGCGCGTCTTTGCGGGCAGACCCTGGCACTCTGAGGCGCGGAGGAACCCTTCGCAGCCCCGGGGGAGGGCGCGGCGGCTGCGGGAGCCTTCCGGGCACCCCGCGCTCCGGGCTGCAGCCCAGAAGTTTGCAGGCGGCTTTCGCGTGAACTTTTTCGGCTTCGCCGCCCGCGAGCCGGCCGCCGCGCTCGCTTGGCCGCTTGGCGGCTGAGTTGGGCGAGCCCCCCGGGAGTCGCAGGACGCTCCTCGGGAGGTGCAGCCGGAATTCAGTGTGGAAGGCGCCGGGAGAGGGGGATGCGGGGACGCCGGGGCTCGAAGTTGGTTGAGGGGTGGGGGGCGCCCGGGCGTCTGTCGGGGCGGGAACGCTCCGCGGGACCCCAGGGATTGCGGGACCCGGCGGCGCCTCTGCACCGTGGCGCGGAGCGGCGGCGCCTCGGGGCCCCGAGCTGCGCCAACCGCCGCGGCCGGCAGGAGGCGTCGCTCGGACCCGAGCTGGCGCCCGGGAGTCGCGCGGCGGCGGGCGGTTTCCATGGAAGGTGTGATGGGCGTCACGAGGTGAGAGGTGGCGCGGTGTGTCGCCTGCAGCGGGGCCCTGGAGGAAGTGCCCTTCCAATCTTTATTTTTCTGTTATGCAAACTAATTGAGGAACTACTCGAGTTCTCTCTTCTTCTCCCCAGTTTTGTTTCCGAGTTTGACAAGGGGCAAGAACAGGAAAAGTTGGTGTGTGTGTGCGGGCGTGTGTGTGTGTGTGTGTGTGTGTGTGTGTGTGTGCGCGTGTGCGCGCGCGCGCGTGCACGTCTAAGTAAAATTGCTTTAGTGGCTGCTCTGCCTTGATTGGGTGTGATAGGAGTGGTTTAGTTTGTGGTGTGCGTGGGGGAAGGCACAGGCCGGTTTGGTGTGGTGGAGAGGGAATACCACAATCTGTGCCAATTGTGCCTTGAGGCAAGAGCACCGAATGATGAATAATAACGCCTGGCTTGGCTGCTTTCCAGTTGATTTATGTCTCATGTCAGATCCCTCCTTCGTGAAGCTTTCCCTAATAATGCCAGCTCACACCGCTCTCTCCTATTTCTGCCTTTTCCTTTTGTGCTTACCATGTGTACTGATAGTTTGTTATATACTGTTTTATTTTTCTGAATATTATTACGCTCTTTTTACACATAGCTTTATGAACGTCTCCAGTTAGATCTTTAATGCTCGTTTTCCTGGGGATTTGATTTTATTTTTTGTTAACCCATAAACAGCAAAGAACTAAGCATTTAATGCCTTTTCTTCAGTAAGCCAACAAATTATGGATATTATGGAATACGCAATGTCTGCATTGTGCTGAGCACTGTATCAGGCACCTAGGGTGAATGCTTGATTAAATCATGGGTTCTTGCATCAAATAACTCTTTCACTCTGTTGGACAAAAGAGGATTAATTGCCAGTCACCATCCTTTGTTACTTGGTACAATCTCAGTAAATATTTTCTAATTTTAGGGTTTTTTTCAAGGTTTTTTGATTCTTGGAAGAACTTTTTTAGTATTTGTGTGTATGAGTATCTTATACTTTAGTTTCATTTTTCTAGAATCTACTTTCATGTGCTTTCTTTAAAGCATGTACCTGCATAACTTTTATGAAGACAGAGACTAGGAGGGCCCTTTATTTAGTTGTATTTGCCTTTTGACAGTGTTCAGGTTGTTGCTGATGATAAGAATGATAGTCCTTCAGTAGTGGTAATGTTTTTTGGGGATTGCAGGTGTAGCCCGTAACATTGTTGGAATATACTGGAACTTTCTCAATATAGAAATAATTAACAGACTCCTGGCTTTCTCTCATATAACATTTCAGTTGAGAGCCCCTGTTTCCTATGTATAGCCTCACATCTCAGGTTCACTTACTAATTAACTCTGAAGTTTATCTTTTATTTGGTGGTGAACTTTTTTTCCCCCCACAAAAACTAAGTTTTTGTCAACTCACGAGACAGGTGATAACATAAACAACTGTGCAGAAAACCACAAAGCTGAGTAGAGATGTGGTTTCCCTTCTGTCATCATTTAACAGTTACTTCTACCTCAACATTTCTCACCCCCTACTTCTTTCTAGCCTTATGGTAAAAATCCATACACCAGAGGAATTATAAACTGTTGTACATTAAGTCCACAGTAAATGCCAAAGACTTATTGAAACATACTCATGTGCCTTTACCTGTTGTAAGTTTTTGAATAGTCTGGGCTGCTTTGGAGCCTGGCTTTCTCAAATGGAAATTAAAGCTGACCTGTAAAGACTAAATAGAGAGCAGCAGGAGTGATTTCAAGTACTTAGTCACGGACCAAAACAAAACATTCTAATGAATGAATGGGATTCAGTTGTCAGTTTGTAAATGATCATCTTCCTTCCTTTCCTGGTAGGGTTTTAGACTCTGAGGAGCAATTGGAGCTAATCCACACCATGGAAGTGGAAACCACGGAACCTGAGCCAGACTGTGTAGTGCAGCCTCCTTCTCCTGATGACTTTTCATGCCAGATGAGACTCTCTGAGAAGATCACTCCATTGAAGACTTGTTTTAAGAAAAAGCAGGATCAGAAGAGGCTGGGAACTGGAACCCTGAGGTCTTTGAGGCCAATATTAAACACTTTGCTAGAGTCTGGCTCACTTGATGGAGTTTTTAGGTCTAGAGACCAGAATGCAGATGAGAGCAGCTTACATGAACCTATGGTGAAAAAGCCACTGGAAATCAATCCATCATGCCCACCAACAGAAAACAATATGTCCGTCCTGATTCCTGATGGGACAAATGTCCGGGGCCAAATACCAGATGCCCATCCTTCTGGCCACGCTCCAGAACAAGTGGTTCCAATTCAGGATCACAGCTTTCCCCCAGAAACCATCAGTGGGACAGTGGCAGATGCTACAACAGGGCATTTCCAAACTGACCTTTTGCATTCGGTTTCAAGTGATGTTCCTACTAGTCCTGACTGCATTGACAAAGTCATGGATTATGTTCCAGGGGTTTTCCAAGACAACAGTTTTACAATCCAGTACATATTGGACACCAGTGATAAATTGAGTACTGAGCTCTTCCAAGACAAAAGTGAGGAAGCTTCCCTTGACCTTGTGTTCGAGCTGGTGAATCAGTTACAGTACCATACTCATCAGGAGAATGGAATTGAAATTTGCATGGACTTTCTGCAAGGCACTTGTATTTATGGCAGGGATTGTTTGAAGCATCACACTGTCTTGCCATATCATTGGCAGATCAAGAGGACAACAACTCAAAAGTGGCAGAGTGTATCCAATGATTCTCAGGAGCACTTGGAAAGATTTTACTGTAACCCAGAAAATGACAGAATGAGGATGAAATATGGGTATGTATTTATAACAACTTGGAAAAATGGTGTTAAATGCTTTAGAGAAGGTAGAGACTAAAAGCCTGCTAGGATGGTTTCTTTCAGTAATAACTGTTTTTCCCTCTTTTCCACTGTTATCTTTTGGCTTTATGCTGCCCTAATTTTTCATGGTAGTTGAATGCAGGGTATTTACCTAACCAAACAATTCAAATGTCAGTCTGTTGCATGTGCATGTGAGTGAGAAGTTGTACTTCGTTGTGAGTTCAATACTGTTTTAATCACTTTTGAAAGTAAGTCCATGGTGAATCATACAACTTAAATAACAAATACTAATTTATCTAATTTTAAAGTTCTTAATGTTGAGTAGTTTGGAGTTTTTTTTTTTTTTTTAAGATTTTATTTATTTATTTGAAAGTCAGAGTCAGGGAGAGAGAGAGAGAGAGAGATCCTCCAGCTGCTGGTTCACTGCCCAGATGGCCACAATGGCAAGGGCTGGACCACGGCTGAACTAGCCTGATGGCCAGGCCAGAGCCTGGAGCTTCATCGCGTTCTTTTCCCAGGCTGTTTGCTGCTTTTCCCAGGCCATTGGCAGGAAGCTGTCTCAGAAGTGGAGCAGATGGAACATGAACTGGCACTCCTGGGATGCCATTGTCACAAGATGGCAACTTAACCACTCCGCCACAACTTTGGCCCCAATTTGGAGATTTTTGTGGCTTTCATTTTGAAAGATGTAAACACTTTCTGTGAACGATTCAGAAGTTTCTCCCGTACTTTGTTTTTTCAATGATTTATTTATTTATTTGAGAGGTAGAGTTGTAGATGGAGAGAGAGAGACAGAGACAGGTCTTCCATCTGCTGGTGCACTCCCCAAATGGCTGCTACAGCCAGAGCTGAGCTGATCCAGGAGCTTCTTCCAGGTCTCCCACGCGGGTGCAGGGGCCCAAACACTTGGACCATCTTCCACTGCTTTCCCAGGCCATCAGCAGGGAGTCGGATTGGAAGTGGAGCAGCTGTGACTCAAACTGGCGCCACAGGCAGAGGCTTAGCCTATTACAGCACAGTGCCAGCCCCCTCCCTTACTTCTTAATAATGCCAAAACACCATTACGTCTATTTTAGTTCTTTTTAAACCTTTTTACCATTAAATTTTTTTTTTGGACAGGCAGACTTATAGAGAGAGACACAGAGAGAAAGATCTTCCTTTTCTGTTGGTTCACCCCCCAAATGGCCGCTAAGGCCTGTGCGCTGCGTCGATCTGAAGCCAGGAGCCAGGTGCTTCCTCCTGGTCTCCCATGCGGGTGCAGGGCCCAAGGACTTGGGCCATCCTTCACTGCCTTCCCAGACCAGAGCAGAGAGCTGGACTGGAAGAGGAGCAACTGGGGCAGAATCCGGTGCCTCAACCGGGACTAGAACCCGGGGTACCGGTGCCGCAGATGGAGGATTAGCCAAGTGAGGCACGGTGCCGGTCTTTACCATTAAATTTATCTTACACATAAGTTATCCCATAATTCAGGGGTTATTTTAAACCTGAAAGAGTCTTAGTGAAAGGAGAATGTTGTTGGATAGGTTTATCCCCTATATAAAAAAACTGGAGTTTTTTTATGCAAAATATGTGTGTTCACTTAATGTGAATGCCTGAACAGTATTCACTAGGGAACTGGCATTTCCATATCCAAATTCTTCATTAATTGAACTTTAAAATGAAGAAAATGTGGTTGTAACATAAAGTTGTTGGTGCAAAAATGAATGTATAGTAAATATTAATCTTCGTATTACTAAATTTCTCATGTAAGAATTAAAATGTGTAGTGTGTAGCTGTTTGTGTATGACAGGCTAAGGATTAAAGTTAAATGGGGGAAGAGAGTACTACTGTTCATGCCACCTGAGTTTGGATGCTGTGAAGGCAACTCAAAAAAGTTGAGAAAAATTTCCTTGAGAGTCTCTTTGTTCACAGATTTGTTGGTTTGTACCACTCAGAAGTCTGGAGAGTCAGCAAATAGTGGCAGTAAGGTATTTCCAAGTTGTCTAATTCTGTTAGTTCTAATGCCACCCTTGTGTATTCTGACATGCTGCCAGAGCATTGTTGGATTACAGAAATATGGCCTTTTTTTTTCTATTTTTTTTCCTAATGCTTCCATTTAGTATTGGTTAAATGGTTTTCTTTGAGTGTTTCAGTATTTCATTTACATAGTAAACAGGTCAATTTTTAGCACCTTAATTCACATGAAGCTAGAACTTTACATCTTGTGTTTCAAGAGAGAAGTGTGGAGTAAGATGATGAGCAGTATAAAATCCAAGATCAAAGTTGTTACACAGAAGACCCCTTGATAAAAGTCAGGTCATATCTAGAAAGCTGTTTTCCTGACTAAATGTATTATTATCTTGGTAATATGTGTTCAAGATTACCCCTTGTTTAGGTAGCAAAAATCCAAAAGCCAAGTACTTTCAGCTTTTTTTTTTTAAAGCCAGCATTGGAAAGAGAAAAATATTTCACTTTTTATCTAAAAAAATCTTTCCATGTTGTCCAAAATCTCTGTTGCCCATGAGCTAGCAATTCTAATTGCTATGTCAAGGATAATTAATTTTATATAATCTCAAAGCCACCCTAATCCTTCCATTTCCAGATTGCAAAACTCTGCAGAACAGTGGCCTTCCACTTCACTCTTGAGAAGTGAATTTCCAGTCTGCTGAGTACTTGAGCATCTTGGTACATTAAGTTTCTATTCATTTGCTTTGGTCAGGAAGAAACTAGCAGGATTATTGTTAAACACGTTACATTCTGTTACTATGAGGAGGCAAGGTAGTCATTTTGATCACAGAAAATCCAGGTACTCTTAGGTCAGCAGCATATTGAGTATTTTATTTGGTAAGATTATTTTGGTGAAGAGTAGACATAGATACAGACCCATGAGCATGCATTGTTGAATTAGTTACAAAGCAGTTGCAGTGGGTGCTTGATTTCCAAATCAGTTTTAATGAAGTCAACTGATGTTTATCTGACACTTGGGAGAGGAAGAGCATAAATGAATTATTATTACAACTATTGCTGCTGCTTCATTGTTAGTGATTATCAGTTCTGCTCTAACAAAATAGCAAAAAGCATTAACTGTCAATTACTAGTAAAGTTCTGAGTGGACTACAAGAAGAAATGTAAGATTGTAGATAACTAAGTGTCAAAAATTAGGCTTTTTGATAAGTTGACCTGTGGTCATTGCAACCTGGTTTTCCTTGTATTCCAAAGCGATGTTGTGTTTCCTGGCAACAAGATGCAGATAACGGCATGTTGAGCCTTGCTGAGAGATTCACAAACAAGCTGGAGCAGCCCAGGTTCACATGGTTACCACATTATTTGGCTAAAGCTATTAATCTCTGTGGTCAGGCCTGTAAAGCTGGTCTATCTGTGCAGATTGCACACAACCAGGAAGTATGTGTTCAGCTGTGTATGCATCCAATTTGGACCCAACAGTCTTTGGATTCAAGAATAATGAATGACAGTTCTGTATCTCACTTGTTTTTAATCGTTTGTATGATTGCTTCTCAGCCTTTTGGCTAAGATTAAGTGTAATCGTTTATATAGCTTGGTAAATCATTATTATATACTGTGTCCATAATAACTTCATTGTGTGGAACTGGGGAAAGTTCATAGTTCTTGGACTCTAGCAGACACAAAAGTTCATCGCTTCAAACAATAGTTGAGGTTCTTTATCTTGATCTGCAAAGTTACAGATTCAATATTTAAATTAGGTGTGTAATGTTCATTTTGTTCTCAGAAATGAAATTGGAAAGGAAGGTGAGCTGGGTAAGTTTGCACATCCCTTCCAGCTTTTTAGATAGTCTAATCACTTGTAAAACAGGATTTCTATAATGAATGCTTATTTGGTTCATTGTAATGGAGTTATGATATAGTCCCACTTTATTTTCTCACTCTGCTTCATACAGCTAGAGATACTAATGACCGGTGTCAGCTGGAAACTAGCTGTGTGTATGTACTTCACAAATTTGATGCTGAAGCTTCTTTTGCACATGGGATGAACCTTGAAGAATTTCCAAATTCCAAATGCACTTGAGAAAACAATATTGAATGTTGTGTTTTCGATTAAGAAAACACAGTGTCTAACAGTTTAGGCACTCATTTTTAGTAGAAGATGATATTGGATGACAGAACTAAGCAGTTTAGCAAGAACCTCCCCAACTGTTTGTAATTGATCATTGAAATGATGGAGGTTCTGCAAAAATCTGGCTTACAGAAATCAAGATCAGTTTCACGTTACATTCATTTTTATGTGTGCCAGACTGATCTAATTATTGACCCCCAACAACAAGGAAGGAATATACTTACTTTTTGTTTTGGAGGTTGCCTGTGGTGAAAATATGACTTATTATTTATAATTCTGAATTTATAGAAAGAGGGTAGGGAGGAAGAAAAAGGCTGCAAACTCTGAATCCATGGCTAATTTTTCTCAGATGACAATATTTTTTCTCCTCTTTTGGAATTAATGCTTATTGATAAAGTAGAGTTTTACTTAATGATTTAAGTATAGAGTGTTGTCATAGTCTTAGTTGCAGAGTGGTTTTGGTAGCTAATTGCTTGTATAAGTCTTTTTTTTTTTTTAATCTGCTCAAGAAACAGTACCATTAGATAGCTTCAGTCCCAAAGGGACAAATACCATATGTTCTCCCTGATCTGTGATAACTAATAGAGCACCTAAAAGATAATCTTAATAGAAATGAAATTGACACTTTGAGAAGCAATGACTTTGAACAGCCCTTGTCTCCACTGTTGAGGAATAATTTCTTTTTTCATACTATTTGTTGAACTCTTAACAGAGTTAATCATGTGTATAAAGTAAATTGAAAATAGATCTAGGTAAAAAATAAGAATGGGTATAGAAGGAGGAGGAGGAAGAGGGCAGGTATGGTGGGAAGAATCACTACGTTCCTAAAGTTGTAATTATGAAATGTATGAAGTTTGTATTCCTTAAATAAAAGGTTTCTAGTGGGGGGAAAGATGGCTTCAGA